GTCTATACAATATATCTTCCCGTCGCACGAAGTACCCTCAAGATACATATGCTATAAAAGAGTGAAAGTTTTTGTATGAACGGATTAACTGTGGTCAAATTATTTAGTTACAAAACTCTGGCAATTTGGACAATACAGCCAAAGGGGCTAAAAGGATAGAAAATAAACAAATCTTTGTCAAACTTGGGTACGGAAAACCTGGGTATTGCATTTTGTAGATATCTGACTTCGCCATATACGTGAATCTTGTGGAGCTACACAAGATTTCGTCCTTGTATATTACTCTCTCTCTGTCTCTCTCTCTCTTTCGCTCTCTCTTTCGCTCTCTCTTTCGCTCTCTCTCTCTCTATCTCTCTCTATCTCTCTCTGTCTCTCTCTCTCTCTCTTCGCTCTCTCTCTCGCTCTCTCTCTCTCCCTCTCTCTCTCTCGCTTTCTCTCTCTCTCTCTCTCTCTCTCTCTCTCTATCTCTCTCTGTCTCTCTCTCTCGCTTCCTCTCTGTCTCTCTCTCTCTCGCTTCCTCTCTGTCTCTCTCTCTCTATCTCTCTCTGTCTCTTTCTCTCTTTCGCTCTCTCTCTCGCTCGCTCTCTCTCGCTCTCTCTCTCTCTCTCTCTCTCTCTCTCTCTCTCTCTCTCTCTCTCTCTCTCTCTCTCTCTCTCTCTCTCTCTCTCTCTCTCTCTCTCTCTCTTCGCTCTCTCTCTCTCTCTCTCTCTCTCTCTCTCTCTCTCTCTCTCTCTCTCTCTCTCTCTCTCTCTCTCTCTCTCTCTCTCTCTTTCGCTCTCTCTTTCGCTCTCTCTCTCTCTCTCGCTCTCTCTCCCTCTCTCTTTCGCTCTCCCTCTCGCTCTCTCTCCCTCTCTCTTTCGCTCTATCTTTCTCTCTCTCTCTCCCTCTCTCTCTCTCTCTCTCTCTCTCTCTCTCTCTCTCCCCCTCTACCTCCGCTGACGATGCAGCTCTTGCAAGCATGCAGACATTTGTGCATATTTTGACTTCTATTGTTCTCTACCAGATTATTAGAACCCCACAAAACGGACAAATCGAAGGAACGGTTCCTATCAACCGAATTAACATGGAGAAAGGGAGCATTTGAGTTCTCATCTCCGACTCCGAGTTGGGCTGGATATTTGACAGAAGATCTCGGAGAAGCCAATAAATGAGAAAGGTAGAAACGTAGGCTAATCTTCTCTCAGGGAGATAGAAGAGGCGGAAAGTGTAGGGTCATCTCAAACGCAGAGAGACGTTTTGCACAGGCCAGTCTATCGGCAAACCTGAATCCTTTCTGTGCTCAATTCTAACTTGGCTATCATCTAGATTACCAGACTATTTTCGACGCCCAGAATATCCTATCGCCTTCTTCTCTTTTCCTCTGCCATAATTCTAGTACTTAAGGGAACATCCATGCATATCACGGGTTTTTTGTCGGACAGAATACCTGAAGATGACTGTCAAACGCAAGGGTCTATCAGTTTTCAAAATCAATTTAAATCATTTAGGGATTTTTTTCTGGATCCCCAATAATTGCTATTTTTCCTCAATCTAAAATAAGTGTTCAATCCTAACCTTGAAGTCGGGCATTATGGTTTCCATATTCCTCTGTTGTAATAATCATTCATCTTTAGGATGCCTCTCTCGTGCTCCAGCAGAGCACAAGAAAGCTAGTACAAAACGAGAGGTTAGGAAGCCAGGAAAAGGTAACCAGGGCCTTCCGCGACATTCCATTCTAAAAGCATTAAACAATTACTCTCCCAGTTCATAACAGAAGTTCCTTAGAATATATATAAAAAAATTAATTGAATTATTGTCATCATAACGGGTCATCATGACCAGGGGTTGTAAGCTTACGGCTAAGCACATCACAAGCACTCATATGATAGTAAATATAATTAATGGCATGAGTCTTTTGTCCGAGCATCATATCAATACATGTGTGAATTTTTCCTTTTTTTTAAATTGCTTGAGTGAGAAAGAGGTTTTAGAATACCTTTTACTCAAGGGTGACAATCCTGCTAAGACTGAAATATGGATGAGTGAGAGATTGAGGAACACCGGAGTTCTCTTTGCTTCATGCCTCTTGAATCTTCTAACTTTTTTGCTAAAGGTAATCTAGAATGGAGCACGAAAGTTCTTTATAATCATATGCCTCTTCAGTCATAAAATCTCTAATGATCTTAAGTCTGTCATATTCAAGTTTTGTATTCTGAACTTCATAAATTCACATAAATTCACATAAATCTTCTTAAATCAATATAGATCAACTACATTGATAATTTTATCAATATATATTATTCCATTTGACTCCTTATTGATTATACACTTGCATTAGTGATATCATTTGATAAAAAAATCTAAATCTTAAGATTCTCACATAGGATGATGATAGATTTGTAAATATTAATTGTTTCTATCTTTGACAATAATTATGTTGATCCAAGGTATTTTCTATAGTCAAGATCATCAATTTGATTCTTTTTATATCATGTGAAGACATTATAATATCCTTCAATATATATAGTTATCATAAAGGTTTTATTTTTTTGTCAACTTTTTGCCTAATATCATTATCAATTTTCTGATTTCATATGAATAATTTAACAAAAAAATTCTCATCCATTAATCATCAAAATATTATTTGATTTTCTCCATAATTCGACACATTAGTCTTTTACAAGTGCACAATGTAAGAAATATGTCTTTTGAATGTACGAAATAAGTGGGTTCCATATCAAACTACACCATTAGCTAAATGGTGGCTGTGAGAGCAGCTGTGAGTACACAAAATAGAAAATATGTCTATCTGCTTGTGTATGTGAGAAAGAGAAAGAGGGAGAGAGAGAGAGAGAGAGAGAGAAGCAGAAGCCTCTTCGACTATCTTTCCCAATTGTGACAGTCTCCATGAGTACTATCAATAGTACTTTCCCCAACATTTTTCAATACAAGAAATTGAACCATATTTCATTGTTAGATATCCATCTTATCTTATACCGATTTCTTTTCCTAGGTAGTTTTCCCAAATGAACTATGAGAGTTACAACCTGGGAATAGGAATCATGGACAGAATAGAAAAACATGTGTAACTTCTGTAAAGACTTACTGTGTTTTACGTTGGAAATATTTACTAAGAGCACAGAAAGATGAACATGCCAGTACACGTGAGCAGGGGGAATATTTTGATGGATTAGGCAGCATCTCATCCAAGATATTTTCTATAGTCAAGCTCAACAATTTGATTCTCTTTATATCATGTGAAGTCATTATGATACCCTTTGTGGGAAGTTGTAATTTCATCATGTAAGGATTCTCTTTAAACTTTGTATTTACATATTTTTTCATATGTTACCTATTACTATTTCGATGTTGTGTTCATCTAACTTTTGCTTTTGTGCTATTGTACTGATGACGAAGTGTAAATTGACTTACTCTTTGGCGGTAAGAAACAAATATTAATGTTTCACATAACTTGTCCCTAGTTTCTGTGCCAAAATATAATTTTCAAACAGTCCACATTTTTTTTCTGCTCATATGATATATTAGCTATGTTATCTAGTATTGATTCGAACTACATATAGTCCACCCTAGTTTTATGTTGACTTGATACAAATTTTAATCATAATTTCCATGCACCAGACAGGGTCGCTTAGTCACAAGATATTTTCGGTTCTGTGATGTTTCAGGTGGTAACATATTTAACATTTTAAATGCCTCCAGTCACTTAGTGATCCCACTAATTACTTACTAGTTAGCACAAAGGTTCACGTAACAAAAGTAAACGAAAATCAAACATGGAATGGTGAGAAAATCTGATCCTAAGAAAGATAATTTAAATTATTTTTCATATTTTCTCCCATACATGGGTAATAACAAAACAACATTAAAAAAACTCAGTATTACTTTCTTGCCATTAGCCTCTTTAATTCTTTGTCATTTTATAGCTTCAGCAAAGGAATAATGGCTGCAATGTTTGAGGCGGTCAGCCCACATACAGAATATGAAGGTGCTGTCCTCTTCTAAATAATTGCAGTAATTAATGTGTTTAATGGTCATAATTCATGTACATAAGAACATATTATAAAGTTAATATAGTCAGTACCCCATGTAATAATTGTAATTTAAAATATTTTCTCTTGCGGCAGTTGTATTGATGTATTCATATCAAAAGGCTTAGATTTCGTTCCTAAAAATTTTATTTCTATTTATGCTTCTGAACTAATCTTGTAGCATAATTTTGAGGAAATCAGTAGTAACATTGTATGTTATTGATAGGCATATTCCAATGAACTACATAAATTTAAATTAAATTCATCTCGTATTTTCATCAACTAGCTTACATTTTTGGACAGGCCTAAGACACATTCTCCAAGGGCCAGTAGAAATGAGAACCTATGCTCATAAAAATTATTTTACATTGAGAAAGATTTCTCATTTAGAAATCAAATTCAGGGGGGGTAGTGTGAGAATCATAGATTCATTATCTGGTACTTTCAGATTATGATTTAATATGATAATATAAGCTTATATGAGATGAACATATGTTATGGAATTAACAACACATGAAGTCAAAGGTGAAAAGGTATTTTTTTTGTGGTATCCATAGTAACTTGTATTTCTCACTTATCTTACTACAAGTATTTTCAATGGCGATCATCCACATAAAATTGATTATTTTGGGTCGAATGCCATGTTTTAAACCATAGGACATGCTATTATTTTGTGCACCATCTTAAGGTTGATGTCCGTCGTTACACTCCAGTGAGATCCAAGAAATAACGTATGAGGCCTTTATTTTTATTTCAGGTATTATCCGTTGCATGTTTCAGTGGTTGGTGACCATAGATCACCTGGAACTGGGTCAAGTTTAGTAAACTCGAAATTAGGAACCTGTTGAATCTCACGCCAACGATTTCGAATTTCATCATAATACAGTAGAAATGGGAACCTATGCTCATGAACTTGGCGCAGCAGTGAACGGTCTCAACGTAACGGAGGCCCAGTATATGTTTATTGGTTTTTTAGGAATCTGGCCTTGACGACCGTAACATATCTACAAGGAATCCATAGCCATCGCCCTGAAGGTACACTGACGATGTCAGTCATCTGGATAGTCTCCCTGCCCCACGCTTGAGCACGAAGCCAAGCGCGAACTGTCATCTCCATAATGAAGAACTCGCAGGCCTTTGAAAATACCCGTGGGGTAACAGAGCTGATCATCTGTTCTCAAAAAGGAAAAAGGATAGAGAAGTAGTCCGTCATTACTCAAGCCACATGGAAAAATATCGGGAGATAGTATTGGTGATAATAACCTGAACTTCCGCATTTTGTTTCATTATTTTCCTTATCGTTGAAAATGGAAGAAGATGCTCGTGGACAACTGTGTTGGTGATTAGTTATGTCAGTGCTAAATTTTACAGACAGGCTATGTAGTTTCAAAAACGTGATGGAAACCTGAACTGTCATTTAGCTCCAGCAGACGACACTCCCAGAAGAGCTGTAGACGATTCCTGGTGATATTCAAAAGCTGTGTGTTAAAGTCAGCTTCACTCATCTGCATGCAAAGTGAAACCAGACATTAGAAGTTGAGAAATGCCGGATGTGATATCGTGAGTGTTCTGGTACTTCTCACGTCGGTCGCAGCATTCAGTGGATTTATTTCAAGAAGAGGAACCTGCGGTGACAGGCAATGGGCGTAGGACGGCTGCACGGTCTGACAATTATCTTGAGAAGCTGGTGGAACCCCCGGAAGCTGTTTGTACAGAAACAAAAGATATTAGGAAGATTGAATGTGGTGTATGCAACATGATGCTTCACGATTTTCTCACGTCCAGTAGGCGATCAAAGTAGACGGGCTCAAGGGACTCTGCAGGGGCCAGATAGTTGTCTCCATCGGGCTGCTGGAGACCGTCGGCAGGTACGGAAGTTGGGAAGGAACTTCGGATGGGATCCATTGGTTTGTATCTAAATTGGCTGATTCTCTCGCTTTCTCTATCTACCTTGTTCTTTCCTCAATATATTCTTACTTCCTTCTCTCTGTGTTACTCCGCTGTGGAATGGGGCTCTCTACCACTTTTTTATACACCTCTATAGAAATAGGATGGATTAAGAAACTTAGATAGAACATATCTTGACGTGATTCTCAAATTGGGATGTTACCAGGATTAGACATGAAGTAATAACACAGATTCGCGATCTCCGACCGCGTATCGAAATCTTATTGGATCGTATAAGAGGTTTTGCACATCCTTCTTTCAATCCTCGCTTGTCGCTTGTTACTGGCCTGGGTACACTTGCCCCATTTTGTTTCTCTTTTTTCTAATGGCTAAATGTTTCTGGATATAAAAGTCAGCGTATCTTTGTCAGACTTCTATACGGAAAACCTGGATATCGACTTTTCTAGATATCTGCCTTCACCATATACGTGAATCTTTTGGAGTTATACGAGATCTGCTGCTCATACGTGATCATATCCGAGCTCATGAAGCTATGTTTTATATTAAATTTATCTCCCACTCTCTCTCCCTATCTCCCTCTCTCTCCGTCTACTAGTGATGCAGCACTTCCATGTGCGGAGACACTTGCGCCTGTTTTGCCGTCTATTATTCTCTAACAGAATATTATAACCCCCTCTAAACTGATAAATCGAGGGAACAACACCTATCCGCCTCAGTAACACGGAGAAAGGGAGCATTTCGGCTCTCGTTTCGGTCCCCAAATGGGGCTGGATATTCGACAGAAGAACTGCGTGAAGCCAAGGTATCGAAAAAGATGAAAAGCTAGATTCATATTCTCTCAGGGAGATAGAAGAGGCAGGCGTAGAGAGTACGGTCATCCAAAAAGCAGAAATATTTTTTAATATAGCCTATTACACCAGCCGGTCTGTCGGCAAACATGAATCCTTTCTTTTCTCAATTCTAACGGAGGTCTCATCTGGATTACCTAACTATGTTCCACGCCCACAATATTCTATCTCCTTTTTCTCTTTTGCTCCACCATAATTCTAGTATTTAAGGGAGCATCCATGGATATCACGGATTACTAGTATGGCAGAATGCATGGAGAATAGTTGTCAAAACTAGGGTCTATCATTAAGAGAAAAAAAAAATTCTAGATCTCCACTGATTGCCATTTTCTAGTTCATCTTATAATGTGGTTGGACTCCGATTTTGGAACAATCAGCACTTAAAATCAATTAATATTAAGTCGCATTTGTCTACAATTAAATGCTAAATATGATAAAAAACTATCCACATCATTTTTAGGCAATTTCCAATACTACACACCGATTTCCATTGGTGATACTGACTAGGTGATAAAGTGCTAATACACTCTTGCATATTTTGCTCATATGATATTTAGAATAAAACTGAACGTTAGATGAGAAAATTATTTTGAAGCTCATCTTACCAAATTAGCTGAATGAGAAAAGTTCTTGGATGATAGTAACAAAGCATCCAATAACGAAGGTATTTAAAATAATTCCTATAAAAAATGTTATGGTTAATGAACTGGGTGTGCATTTAAAACTATTATTATCACTAGTTCATTTTGTACTTACATGAACATTGAAGAAATCAAGATTTATAAAAGATAACAATTACGAGAAACTACTAAAAATATGAAAATAAGAAATTTAGTCTTCATGACATAAAATCAGCTATAGCATGAAAAATCCAACTTTAAATTAATCTTAAAATTAGTGTCACTATTCTAGTTGGGATTCACATGGAACACTATGCTGGCACAAAAAACAAGTGTCACCTTCCTTGAAGAGATAAACACTTGTTGAAACTTGTCAAACCTAGGAAATAATAATCATAAAATACAGTAGAGAAATTCAAGATACACATGAAATTAGAGCATTCTATGATGACTATCTTGTAGAAATGTACAACACATAAAGGCTTGTCATGAAAAATTATCTTGTCAACCCAACCAAAAGCTATGTCGACAATTTTTTATGAATAATCATAGAAATAGCTTAAAAAGATGTAAACATAATCAAACACCCTATAAAACCACTTCATTCCCTTTCTTGTACATCTACTAGTGTATTAGGGACCTCACAGAAGATGCTCAAAGATTGTTGATGTCACTTTGGTAGTTGTTAACAAAATGTTCAACTTTTTAATATTTATGAACTGAATTCATAAAATAATTAAAATTAAATATTTTTGAATCCAGGTCGTCAACAAGGATGAGAGTTAATCTGAATATAAATTTCTTTCATTATAAATAATTTATTAAAAAAGGATAAATAAAGAAAATAATTTTCTCCATGCTTTAAATCTTCCAAACTACTTCAGCCCTAAATTTATTAATCTTGATATTTTCGAACATTCATATTTGATAACTGACTCAAGACCTGCAAATATTCCAAAGAAAATGGTAGAGGCAACTGTTAAAATAAAAGAAAATAAAATAACACAAAGTACACCAAAAATATGGGAAAATAAGGGAAAATATGACTATCAGCTGGGTCTCCCACTGATAGTGAAATGAGAAAATGATTTTATTTATATTATTTAAAAAATAAGTAATAATTCGAAACAAATATACTAAGATGATCTTAATCAAGTTCATTTTGATCAAAAATAGTAAAATTGCAAGAAAAAAACTAAAAAGAATGAAATAAATTGACAAACTTGTCCAGAGCTGTCACTTAAAAACAAAGTATTGTTGCGATGAAAATCTTATGAAAAAAAGCATAAAAGTGATAAAAATTGAATTAAAATGCTTAATCTCATCATCTTATTGTCACCCAGATGAAGTAAAAAGCTGAAATGAAAATAACATTGAATCAAAACGAAGATCTAATTCACAATCATCATTTGTTGGTTTGTTCATCTATCCCTAGAAAAATAGTATTGAAAAAATAAATACAAAATCATTTCAAAAGAGGTGGAAGAAAATGACAACAAAGCCTTAATCCCATTGTTGTTTGTCACCTAGATGGGGAATTAAGAATGAATGAAAATAAAATACAGTTAAAAGAGAAATCAAATTCACAAGTTCCTAGTGTCATTCAGCTCATCTCTATTGATCATTGATAATTATAAATTAGTAATTACATCTATGTATTTATATATAGATGCTAATTAATGAGTAGAGAATATAATTATACATGTGTTATTGACTTATTATAATATTTATAATAATTTATCATGTAAGTCCTAATGCATATTACCTTACTTATTTTATTAATATTATGAGATTAATCTCACTTAACTTTTATGAAGTCAAGTACTGATTCTCTCACATTTTCTTGATAATTATTTAATTACAATAACTTAGGTGAGCTCTTATTAATGGAAGAAATCCAAATTTTGAGCCAAAAGAAATATCTAAATCTTCTAAAGAGGGCTGGCATAATATGTTTATGGGCTCATGAGAGAATGTCATCTTGGTCAGGTTCATTTAGACCTAAAGCGTCTTTTTTTATAACTAGTCAGAGAAAAAGGCAAAGAAAAAAGCTTATAAGGGAATCTAAATCTTATGACTAGTAGAAGAAAAAGGAGGGAAATCAAGGCATGATCAACGACATTCTCATACTCAAGATCATCATGGAGAAGAGACTACTTGAAGTGCATCAAGATCATTGCAGATCAAGCACCACTTGGCTCAGAACTAGCACACAACAAGATCTATGTAAGATCTAGATTTAAGGCGTCCTTGTAATCTTCTTCCATAGATAGATTTACTCTTAGTTCAAACTAGTTTTATCATTTATTCTATCATTCTATTACATTAGATTCATTTTCTCTCTTTTGTCACACTTTTTATTTCTCTTATCTTCACCCTTTTTTTTTAAATTTAATTGTGCCCTTCATAATCTCAAGTATATCTATATATATAAGAAATAAAATAAGTAAAATTCTTACTCCCATTACTCATATTTCTTGAGAATTGACCCTTACTTATCCTAAACTAAAGAATGAGATTTTATAAATATTATTTGCATGAATTTGGTTGCATCATGATGATAGATCTAACCTCTAAATCGAGTTCATCAATCATTTAGAGAGAATTCAGCTCTAAAGATTTTTAAATTCTCTCAATCACCCCAATTTTATCATTCAAAAAGATTTGTGCCTCTACCCTATAACTTCTTTCCGTACAACAATATCTCAACAACTACTGTGAAATTTAGATATATATCCAACCATTTCATCAATAAAACATAGAGCATAGAAGATGATGTGTACATGACTAATGTGACATAATTGTTAACTTTGCATAAAAATATTTACTTGGCCCATAAACCCTTGACACATTAATAAGTCTTCATTATCATGAGTTAATAACTAATTAATAATATACTTTAAGCCTTAGCTCATGATAAATAGACTTATATTTGTGATAAATTGAGAAAAAAGTTTTTACTTGACTAGTGTAAATTTATTGACTAATTATTTAATTTTATGTTAATTTACATAATTTTTATAATTATATTTTTGAGATAAAATAAATAAAAGTTAAAAAATAAAAAAAGGACATACCCATTAGCCAACCGAGACTCATATGCGAGTCGAAAGCATAGTCAGGGGAGCCATGAGCCAAGGACTTGAGTAGCTAAGGACTAGTCAAGGCATGTATGCATCACTCCCCTTCCATGTCATTGGGGCTAGTGGAGCATGGGGCAAGGAGTGGTTGTACTCACATGGGTATGTGATAGGTACATTAAAGACAAAAATAGATATTGATATGTATGTGTCTTAAACATCATAAAATAACTAGTGTGGGTCTCAACTCATGCCATCAATTGCTAGTAGGTTTTAATATTTTAAGACCAAAAATACTACTAAATTATAAGAACAAAATACTGCCATGACGACTAATGTGTATTTAATGTTGTATTTAAATGTACGTTATCTAATAATATTTATAACTAAGACTTAATAAAATACTAGTATAGAAGTAAGTCTTAGGTTGAACACAAGGAGATTGATTA